ACAGTCATGTAATAAATACAACGGGAGAATCTCACGGAGGCGGAATATTTCAGTGTCAAAAGAAGGGCATTCCCATACCTCCGATGGTTTTCAATTATACTTTGTCGCATATAGTAAATATCAGAGAGCGAGAATAAAACATATTCAGTGATGATGCATTATGGATCGATAATTATGTGGTGTTTGGTAAATCTAGAGCAGGGTTTGGTTGAAAGAAAGTGGAGAGAATATTCTGTCAGGCTATTTTCGACAAATCTTTGTCCCAAATTGTACTTTGGACTGTAGTGTAATACTGGTGTTAGGGTATTGAGTGTTCTATTGTATAAACACTATACCACCTCCGGTGCTCTTCCGATGGAAGCTATGTGTCCCTGGCAAATGTTTTTTTTTTTTAGTAGTAGTAGTAGTAGCAGTCGCTCTATGCAGAGCGAATTTATTTGATTTTCCACACATTATAAACAATGACAATATAATGACAATAATTTACATAATGATATAACAGAAAACTGGCATATAAATATAATTGAAATTGTTTTTTTTTGTAGTCTTGTAATGCGAAATTATTTAATTACAGGAAATTAAAAACGAACCTACTTGGAAGCAAGGCTTGTTAGGTGTAGGTAATTCGTAAGAGTTACACAATAATGTCACTTTGTCCTCAAATTTCTAAAGCTATATGACAGATTCATTTCCATTATCGAATTGAAGTACTAAGGGCGTTTTTAAAGGCATCGTTTAACAATGTTAAATCTAAAATGCACGACCCTACGAAAAAATGCGCTTCAAAATAATCAAGTAGTACCTCAAAAAAGTAAAAATCTTTGAGTGACCGGTTTTACCATACTCGTTTTCCCCAATAGACTGTAGTGTTATGAAAACCGTTAGGAAAACGCAAAATTTGGTTTCGATTTCCAATCATAAATATCTTGATAATCAGCCAGGCGATCGGCTTGTAAAAGTCACAAGGTTCCTGACTGACCTAAAGGTTTATATATAATTATCATTGCAGCATGAGCTAAAGAATCTTAGTCAAAGTTACCGGATCCCTTTAATACATAACTTCCACACCCACGACCCCGACCAGTCTAGAATGAAATATGAATTTGTTTAGTGGTTCGGGGCTGGGCTCTCTCATCAGCTCATCATCATCGACATATAAAATCGAAAACACAAAATGTTCATATCTAAAAGGTTGCCAGGGAGGTTTTTACGAAATATCAAAGCACTTTACTACACGACAGCCTATAAAATTAAGCGTCCCTCCTGTCGTTATTATTCAAACACAACACGATTCAGGGCAATATTTAGTTGTTATGTAACATTCACACAACCCGACCCTCCCGCCCGCCCCTGGGCTATTTCATGTTTATAGAGTTGATTTGTTATGGTTATTGTCTCAGAAAAGAACTCTCTCATTGGTTCGAAGTCTGGGCCAATCACTTCGGCTCCTGGTATCTCTGAGCCCTGTTTCATAAACATTCTTATCAATAACAAATTCTAAATTTCCATGACAAATATGCTCTCAGCCAATCAAATGCCACTATTTCAGTAGCTTATAACAGTAATTGTAACTTGTTAATGATAACAAGTATTATGAAACAGGGCCGTGTTCGGTATGAAAGGTTAATTTGTGCCATTCTCTTTATAAATCAAGTTTTCTTGAATCGTACCGATGGACAAAAATAAATACACTGACCGCAATTATCTTCTGTAGTAGTATTTGCAGAGGGGTGTGGACAGTGTGATAAGAAATGTGAGATATTCTAACGATAGGTATCTATTTTGGGTTTGTATCAGACTAAAAATATCTATAATTGGTTTGATAAGAGGAGAAAATAAACTAATCTATGGATAGTGCACAGCTTACTATTTAGAGAACTGTACAAATAAACATGATTTGTATCCAGTGATTTATTTGACTCATGTTGTTTTTAAAATCCAATCTCTCTCTCTGACCCTATTTCCGTTACCCTTTCTTTCTTTCTTTATTCCTCTCTCCTCTATCCCTATCCCCCTCTCTCACTCTCTCTCTCTCCCTCTTTCTCTTTCTCTCTTCTCCTTCAATTCTTTCTCTCTCTTACACACATTGCCAACATTCGACTACGTAAGTAACTGGAAACATGAAAATATTTCACGTGCCATGTTTTGAGAAGAAATAAAAGGTGATTGACTATTTCCATATTATTCTTGCCTTTGTTTACATTAATTCTGCGTAATAATATATTTGCAGGCTATCTCTCCCAATATTGGACATGTCGTAAATGAAGTTGTATTTTTTAGTATCTATTCCGTAAACGATGAGTTATTATTCACAAACAATACCCGTGGCAGCGATTCACAGAATGTGGGAGTTATGACGTCATATACAGCAAGATATATGTTTTATTTGTCGTTCGGATTATTATAATTTTCCGAGGAGTCCATTAATCTGACACATTTTTTTTTTATCTTTCCTGGATTTAACTGCTTAAATTTGTTTCTCTTTCAAAAAACATTTTTAAAAAACACTTCCTTTACGAAAGATGCGACGAAAAAAGCGTTGATTGAATGAATTAATAAATAATTCGTCCCTATTTTCACGAAGTGACGGTAGTGAATGAAAATCGCACACAATTTGCGTGCCGATTTTCCTCACTACCGTCACTTCGTGAAAATTCATTTATTCATTTATTCACTCGTGGATTGATTGATTATTTGATTGGTTGGTTGGTTGATTGATTCATTCATTCGCGTATGTATTGCTTGGTTGGTTGGTTGCAAGATTGATTGATTGATTTTGTTGGTGTTTTGTTTGTTTGTATGCTCGCTGTCAAGAAAAGACAGATTGCATATTGCCTGAATTGTGTCTTTTGTATATTCTTTTTTTATCATTCCCTTTTCCATCTTTAAACTGGGAAAATCCAAGTTAACCAACATCCGATGAGATTTTCAGAAATAATAATAATAATAGCTCACATTTATAATGCGCCTAATACTACGTTTCTAGGCGCGGAACATATTATTACCCCGGTCATCGGATTCAGGCTTACCCGCACACAAGGTGTGCACATTCTCCACTCCCTGGGGAGCATTCCAGCCAGTCGCCATTTTACAAGCGCCACTTGCTAATCAAACCACATTAGCTTTCGCATCCTACCGGGTACCCATTTTAACACCTGGGTGGAGAGTGGCAAATGTAGATCAATGTCTTGCCAAAGGACATTAGTGCCGCGGCGGGACTTGAACCGCGGACCTTGTGATCCACAGTCCGGTGACATATCCACTCGACCACGACACCTCTACAGAAAGCGCTATAGTGGTCTGTGGCATCTGTTTGTTTTGTCACACCTCCACCATGTCCAGTTGCGGAAGTCAGTGACCGTCCTTTATTATCAATTATTAAACTGCTTTTTATGTTTAAAGGTAATACAAAGTTTTGGTAATATTTCAACAGGATTGAATTATGACGATATAAGTTTGCATTACCACTGTGAAACCTAGTGTTAGAATAAGCAACTTCGAAAAAATTGGGCTCGAAAACTCTAAGGATTTCGAGAAATTAAAATTCAAATAGCGCCTACGGCTATACAATGGTAGCTGCGACCATGAAAATCTCGGAATATGTAGTTCTGATATGATATAATTTCCAAATGAGAAAAGAAAATCAGTCGATTTTAGTTAAGAAACATTAGTGTTTTGAAGCTAAAGTAATATCAATCTTGAGAGGGAGCTACAACTTAAAGAGTTTATTATTCACAATTTCATCACTTTAGACTCGATTTCAACGGCGACAAAGATCATTGAATATTGTAGGATCGTATATGCTTCCAATATGTTCATTTGAACCAATTGCATGACCCCATACCAAAACTTTGTATTACCTTTAACATGTGTTTCCAAAATCACAAATCTGAGAATTCTCTGACAATCAGAGAAATTTATTTGGGGGTGCCGTGAAATAAACCGCAAGGAAAGATAAATCAAACAAAAACAGGTCATCTGATATCGCCTGCATCTTTTTTATAAAACAAAAAGGTGCGATGATTCGGCATATTTTGGGGGTCTAAATTTGAAGCCTTAGTACAAAGGGGGACGATGCCCCATTTTCCTGTTGTATTCCATGTGTACTTAAGATACATGCTAGAGAGTCCCCATCCTTATTTTATCACCTGAGAATAAAGAAATATACCGTAAGAACTTCAATAATGCAAATAAAAAGTAGATCAAACTGAAGCCTGTTTAATTTCATCTATTTTGACATAACTATAACCGCTGTGACATCTATCTGTCGTATTATAAAGATAGCGTTACTATGCACATCTACCCAGTGGTTATTTTTATCCACAAAATTGAAGTTAATCCGGACGGTATTTGCGATCGGGTGATTATCCATGTAGCCGCAGATAAGCAAGCAACCCAAAATAAGCAAGCAACCCCAAAATAAGTTTACCCAAAGGACTGGTCTCTATAAATACACCCGTTGTAGATGCTTCTTCTTCCAATCATCTCAAAACTTTAGCGGCTATCGTTTCTCCCTTGTAAAGGAGGTAGAGCCAGTATAGTTGTATCTCTGATATTACATCTCCAGCTTTCCCACTTTAGGAAGTTCCAAACTAATAGACTTTGTGGTTTTCTATAGAAAATTACATCAATTTTTTTCATATACTTATTCTTCAGACCTGGTCGGAATTAGATTCGGTCAGTTGTATGGGTTCTTGTATCCGTCAGTTGGCACTTTACTAGTTGGTAGGCTTTCCAAAATATATGATTCTTTATGTTAAACCTTTGGCCAATTTCCGATGCTTTAGTTGTCACTGGTGACAGAAAAGAATCTAAAGAATCTACATCGAAATCATCTTTATTCTGAGACTGACACAAATCACCAGATCATTCAATTTAAGTAGTTTCTGAAAAGTGGAAAGACAAAAAGACAAACAGTAAACTATAATTATAAGTGAGCGCATCTGTTGCTAGAGCCGGTGAAAGAACATCATCGAATTTCATCTTCCTCATCGTTCATGATGAAGAATTTTGGTATCGGTGCAGGGGTACTGGTAGCGGTGTTTGTAGGGTACCTCCTTCACACCCCTATACCAACTGATCTAGCCTCTCCCTGGTGTTTTAGACTCCTTGTCGCTGGACTCAAAACTGGAGATATCGTGGTGAGTCTTCTCTTTTGCTCTTCAAGTTTTGTCACTTATTCTTTAAAATGTGCTGTTTGTACTATTATTTGTTTTTCTCTATATTTGTTTATACATGTACCATGGTTATTCTAATCAGTTATCTCTTTTCTATCATCTTTAATCTCGCAATCTGATCCATTTTTTCCATTTCATTTAATTTCATTTATTGACCATTACAAAATATATATATACACAAACATCAATACAATAATCCGGTAATTTCAAAAGTGGGGGATGCTTGAAAACCGTCAATATCGATATCCTAAATGAAAAATAATGGTAGCTTTTTTTCAACGACCCTTAATCAAACTTGGAAATCAGGATTCTAAATGGTACATCTTGAAGGCCTTTTTGAACTCCATCTTTAATCAAATGTCAATATTGCATACTTCATTTTACTGGTAAGTAAAAAAAATAAAATAAAAAAAAACTGTTTTTGAACTGTTGCTTATTTATTGATGTTCTTGCCCTTTATTCCAGACTGCGTTGACTCTCTATCTCAAGCCATCTGATCCTCAACTTCATGTTCGTGCTCTACGTACCATGATAGAGATAGGGCTCCCTGAACCCGATGAGCAGGTCCTAGGTTCGAACCTCACCGCAAGGTACGCCCATTTTGACGGCATCCGTGTTCTCATCTACGAGCCCGTTCACCGCCCAAACGCACTTATCCCTGCCTTGGTTTACTTCCACGGAGGCGGCTACGCACTAGGCAGCACCAGTAAGTTGATTTTAAGAGATGAACAATTCTGTTTTACACTCCTTGCTTTCGCAAAGACGTAGATATAAGAAGTGTCATGAACGAAGCTCCGTGAGGCACCTGGGTAGGTGTCCCCTAATCGAATCGCACGAAAATGGGGGAAGAGAAAGAGAGACAGCTAGACACAGAGAGAAATAAAAAGACAGACATACAGAACGTAGATTCTTTCTTATTCGTCTTCCCTCTCTTTCTTTTCAACTTTCAAATTTCTCGAAATTCATAATTTACCACTTTAATTGTGTTTTATTTCTTGTTCTCTACAGAGCTTCATGGTGCGCTGACTAAACATTTAGCTGAAAGCCTGAACATGGTACTCGTATCAGTTGAGTAAGTATAGACTTGTAATTGTTCGTAGTAATCCTCCCCCCCCCCCCCTCTCTCTCTCTCTCTATCTCTCTCTCTCTCTCTCTTTTCTCTCTCTCTCTCTCTCTCTCTCTCTCCCTCTCTCATTATAAGCCTATATTTATTTTCTCTTGATATTTGGTCTACTGTAACCGATGTTTTGTCAAATTGAGGAAGGTATAAACAAATATATACGTATGCCAACAGAGAGTGTTGCTAAATATACTGGACAGCGTACAATTCCGCGGTCAAATCTAAATATTCATTTTTTCGGAGAGGAAGCCGACCCACCCCCATCTATTTGGTCACGTCATCATTCTTCAAACATTTTTCTTCTATGCAGGTATCGGCTTGCTCCCGAGCATCCTCTCCCAGCTGGTCCCGATGATGGCGTCATAGCAACCAAATATCTCTTGCAGCACGCCTGTGAGTTCGGCATCGACCCCCATCGCATTACCGTAGCTGGTGACAGCGCCGGTGGTCATCTCGCAGCCGTCGTCACCCAGCAAATCCACGACGACCCCAGCGTACCCGACCTCAAGCTCCAAGTCCTTTTCTACCCCTGGCTCCAAGCGATGGACTTCTACACCCCTTCCTACCAGCTCTACGACCACACCTATGGGAACATTGGTCTATCACGAAGCAAGGTGGTGGGCTTTGTGGCCTACAACCTCTTCCAAAGACTCGATGCTGAGTTCGAGATAAAGGTGATGAGGAACATGCACATGAGCGCCGACTTCAAAAGATCACATCGCTTTCTAAGGGCATTCGATCACGACATCATCCACGAAAAACTTGCGAATGCATCTTTTACTCAGCAATTTACCGACCCTGAGTCATCGTATCTGTTCAATTCTCTCTCCGAGTCGATCCCGAAACCGACACTCGTTTCCTCGTCGTCATCCTCGCCATTCTCGCCATCGTCGTTGTTATCATCATTGTTACCAGTTCCGGCTCCATACCAGACTCCAGACTTCACCTACGAGCCCCAAGAAGCATTCGAACCCGGTAACGAGACATACTGGTCCGAGATCCAGGACTTCTTCCTCGACTCCGGGATGTCTCCTCTATTCCGGGAGGACACGAGTGGTCTTCCAAAGGCCTTCATCGCAACTGCAGACCAAGATATACTCCGAGATGATGGCATCTTCTACACCCATGCTCTGGAGCAAGGCGGTGTGGAGGTGCATTGGAAGAACTACCAAGGGGCGTGGCATGGGATAGCTGGTATGGGTGTCCTTCAAAATATACCGATCGGTATCGAGATGATAGAAGACGCTATCACATTCATCCAAGACAATATATGATTTTTTTTTAGTTCTTGGGGTTTTTATACCCATGCATTGGAGCTAGAAAGTGTGGCAGCAGGCCCCTTCAATCCCCCAGGTGGAAGTGAGGTGGAGGAATTACCAAGGGGCGTGGCATGGGGTAGTAGGCATGGGTGTCCTTAAAGATAACTATTCCCATTGGTATCGACATGAAAGAAGATGCTATCTCATGCATCCAAGACAAGCTATGACGTTTGCTTGGTCCCTTATCTATGTATTTGTTTTACGCCCACGCTCTGGAACTAGGGGTGTGGAAGTGAGGTGGAGGAACTACCAACGGGCGTGGCGTGGGCTAGCTGGTATTGTGGTATTCTCTAAGATATTCCCATTGTTGTAGAAATGATAGATCCAAAACAGCTCATCAAAAACCACATGTTTGTTTTTGTTCGCTTGCTTGTTTAATGTTTCCTTTATTACTCATAATATGCTCTGGAGCTAGGGATGTGGGGATGGGGTGAAGGGAATGAGGTGATTAAAGGTGCTATTTCATTCTTTCAAAATGATCGGTTTTTGTGAAGATGATACCATATGGAAGGTCAATTCTCAGCTCCCCTTGACCTCTTCTTTTACGGAATTATCAAAAACGTAAATGTAGCCAGCTTGACGAATGGATAGGCCTATCCCAGACAATGATACCAAATATTTACGTAATGTAATGATGTTTATATTTCTCGGTACATATGTAAAATATTGTGTAAAGTATTTGTGTAAAGTACGGTGTATGATATGTACAAATAATGTTCAAATAAAAAGAACTATTCTTAATAAAATTATTTATTTGAAATGGTTTTCTATGTGTAGTGCTATAGAGAAGTATTTTGTGAGAGCGACAGAGATAGAGAGATGGAAGGGAGGGAGAGAGAGAGATATATATATATATAGAGAGAGAGAGAGAGAGAGAGAGAGAGATGTAGAGAGAGAGAGAGAGAGATGGAGAGAGAGAGGGGGGCGGGGGTTGGTTGGGTAGAGAGAGAACCGAAAATAGTGTGACATAAAACAGAAAGAGAGATATGTAGACACAGGAAATGGGATATGAATAGAAAAAGAAATGGGGTAAATCTGTACCCATAACAAGTTAAACATAACCGAATATTATCTTTCTTTCTTCCTCACTTAAAGGGACTTGGTAACATTGTTCAGATTAGAGATATTGGTGCTAAGATAGTGACTTCAATGCTAGATGTACAATTAAAGATAATCTGAAAATTTGAGTGAAAACGGACCATTATTAATGATACAAATTAGGAAAAACTGATCTGGTCGATTCCTTAGTTCTCCCAACTATATTATTACAATTTAATAAAATTGTAGGTAAATGTTAATCGTCACAAAGCAATAAATTGGCTCTACATACCATTCCAGACATTTAAGTGTTGACAGCTTTTTAATAACCCGTTTTATGTCTGTTTTTCATGGGAAACGGTTGGGAAGATTCAAAAATGGTTGGGAGAACTGTTAATCACTGTTAGAGGGTGTTTCACAGTGACTCCTTCATAGAAAACCATAGATATCTTCGTGGTTTGAGAATTTTTACAGGATTTTTTGCATGTCAGAGGGTTAGTGCAGTAGAAGGAATATAATAAGTAACATTTTATACAAAAATTAAGCATTTTTTTTCATCAACCTTCAACAATGTCACTTTAAAGGTAATACAAAGTTTTGGTATGGGTTCATGAATTTGGTTCAAATGGACATAATGTAAGCATATGCGATCCTACAATATTCAAGGATCGTTGTCGCGATTGAAATCGAGTCTAAAGTTATGAAATTGTAAATAATGAACTATTTATGTTGTATAGCTCCCTCTCAAGGTCAAGATATTAATTCAGCTATAAACCAATGTGTCTTGACTAAAATCGACCGACTAGCTATTAGCCTTTGGAAATTATATATCACAACTACATATTCTGATATTTCATGGTCGCAGCTCCCATTGTACGGCCGTCAGGCGCGTAGCCACGGGGAGGGGGGGGGGGGGGGCACGGGGGGGAGGGGGGGGGCACGTGCCCCCCTAAAATTTCCAGGATCGGTTGAAATTTTGTAGACCCCTTTTTTTTACCTCGATCGATTACATGTATGTGCCCCCCCCCCCCCAAAAAAAAAAAAAAAAAAAAAAAAAAAAAAACATCAAACTCTGGCTACGTGCCTGACGGCCCTAGGCGCGGCGCTATTTGAAATTTATTAAAATTTACTGGGAGCACCGGTAAACTTTTATATTCAATTTTTCTCGAAAGCAGAAGTATTTTAAGGGCTAAATTTTCTAGTGCTTACAATACATCCACAGGGGCATCGAAATATATCAAATTTGTAAAGAATCATTATCCACCCAATTTTCAAAATTTCCCAAAACTTTGTATTACCTTTAACAATATGTCATATGTCATGGTGGTGCGTTTGCTTCTTCACCACCACCCCCCCCCCCCCCCCCAATTATTATTATTATTATTATTATTTATTTTTTACCCAGTATGTATCAAGAAAATGGAATACAGATATGGGAATACTGTTAGGGAGACGGCAAATTAAAAGATAGAATTGTTATAGGGAGTGCTGTGCTTATTATGGTTTCTGTTTTGTAAATAGTTTAGATTTAATTTGCTTTCGTATAGAGTTATAGACAGTTCAGGAAACAGGTGTCAGTAATATAGCCATTTATGAGTATTAGTGTTCATGTGGGGATTTTGTGTACATGGGAGCTTGTGCGTGTGTGCGTGTGTGTGTGTGTGTGTGTGTGTGTGTGTTCCGAGTGTGTATATATTTTTAAGCACCGAAAAAGAAACTTGCGTTGTTAGATTTCAAGTTATCGATCGGCTTTCAAGAAGAGAAGTAGAAAAGATATTTGTTTAACCAAGGATGTGTACCTTAAGTAGTAAACTGCGAGAATTTCAGTTCAAACTGTTGCATAAGATTTTATATACAAATCATCATTTACATAGATTCAGGTTTCATGAAAATGGGTTGTGCTCATTTTGCACAAATTTTAAAGAAACTTATCAACATGTATTCTTTGAATGTAATAAAATAAAGGAAGTTTAGGGGAAATGTGCAGATAGACTTATTTTACCAATTCTGAAGAAATTATCCTGGAAAAAAATTCACATAGGAATAGATGACAGTACTTTAAAAACAGAGCAATTATTGAACCACATTTTGATTTTGATTAAATTTATGATTTTCCACAGAAGAGAGAATGGAAACCCTCCAAAAGCAAAAGAAATAGAATATAGATTATTGGAAAATAGAAATGGAGAGAAAAAACTTTCATTGGAAAGAGACACACTTTCAGTTCATTTAAGGAAATGGGAAGCTTTGGAAAGTTTAGAATATTGAATGTTTTCTGTTTTTAATTTTTCTCAATATGAAACATTTAGACCCTCCTCTTTTCTTTAATCGTGCAATTTTTTTTCCCCCTTTTTTTTCTCCCTCTTCTTTTCTTCTTCTTTTTCTTTTGTTTGTTTGTTCGTTCTATGTTGGTGTGTGTTTTGTAGTAGTAGGTGTTCTCTAGCTCTTTCTCTTTTTATTTTTATCATTTATCTTTTTTTTATTTTTTATCATAACCCTTCTTTTTTCTCTGAAGGAAATTCCAGCCCCCCCCCCCCCACTCCGTGGTCGGAATGACCGCATGCGTGTTAAAAATATTGTGTGAAGATTATTTTGTTATTTAGTATACAATGTTATAAATTATGTACAATTTTCTTTATGAGAGAAGAAAATAAAAACCTATGAAAAAAAGTTTTCGCTCGACTGATAACTACGAAAGCCCATTAGTGCCACCATACGAAATAAAATTTAAGAGGAATTATCTGGCGGCCGCCAGATAATTGACTGGCGGCCGCCAGATAATTAACTGACGGCAGCCAGTTAATTATCTGGCGGCCGCCAGATAATTAGAGGTCTATAACAGCTGCATAATGGTAGGATACTGGAAGCACTGGCGTACTGATGGGGGAGGGGGGGGGTGGGGCACTTTTGCCCACAGTCAGAGGCGACATTCTTGGTTGGGAGGGGGGACACTGTGCCCCCACTTTTTCAGGTTCCCCTAAAGTGCCCCTTATCCTTTGTACATGTCCTTTTTCCCCGGCCCCCCACTCAATGTTATTTAGGGTACGCATATGCTCGTTCCCTCTTTTTGAAAGCACCCCTATCTGAGGACTGCCAATGTTTCTGTGGGCATTTCGCGGGCTTTTCCTGCCCTAAATCAGGAAAAATGCTCAATGTACCCTCCTAAATTTGGAATAATTTCTCAGGAGTCCAAAGAGATGAGAGGAAAAAAAACACCCCCTTTTTAAAGAAATCTCCGGGTGAAAAGTCAAATACACCTTCTTTTTTTTTTACAATTCTCGGGCCGGACTTTGTCGCACGAAAAGTACCTCTTTACCGGACATTTTGGCAACACGCATGCGGTCATTCCGACCTCTGAGTGGGGGGAATGGGGGGGGGGGGCGGGCCTTTTCCCTTCTGATAATTTTTAATGGTAGGAATTTATATATTTTCATGGAAGGATACTGGAAGCACTGGCGTACTGATGGGGGGGGGGGGCAGTTGTCCCGCGAAATGAAATTTCGCACGTTTGCCCACAGTCAGAAGCGGCATTCTTGGTTGGGGGGGGGGGGGACACTGTGCCTCCACTTTTTACATGTACATGTCCTTTTGCCTTCTGATAAGTGCCTACTTTTTTCTTTCTCCACGATGCACCTCTATAATTCAAGGCATCTGAGAGCCCTTATAATTATAGTGCTTGCTTGCCGGGGAAAAAGGACATGTACAAAGGATAAGGGGGCACTTTAGGGGAACCTGAAAAAGTGGGGGCACAGTGTCCCCCCTCCCAACCAAGAATGCCGCCTCTGACTGTGGGCAAAAGTGCCCCACCCCCCCCCCCCCCCCCCCCCATCAGTACGCCAGTGCTTCCAGTATCCTACCATTATGCAGCTGTTATAGACCTCTAATTATCTGGCGGCCGCCAGATAATTAACTGGCGGCCGCCAGATAATTCCTCTTAAATTTTATTTCGTATGGTGGCACGTACTAATGGGCTTCCGTAGATACCTTATAAATCCGGAGAATGGCGTTCATACTCACTTGCATTCTATCGTTCATCAAGTCTGCATATTTTCTGTCGTCAGCTGTGATTTACCAACCAACGTCTTAGAGTCGCCTGCCGTTTTCAAGTCAAGTTCAAATCATCAGTGATCAAGTTTTGCTGTCTGTTTCGCGGTGCGAAGATTTTTTGGACTTCAAAGCTACCATAGGTCAAGTTTGTCACTGTAGTCGCTGTTTTTCATCTATCCAGTAATCAAGCCGTCAGAATTCTAGTTTATCAGTTTACCCGTCAGTTGCCGTACAATTATTCCCGACAAAAAAAGTGAGTGTTAAGGTTAACTGTACGTGATGATACAAATTTTGCCGGGAAACCGCCTACTAATATCTGGTAAATTATATCTAGAGTCTATCCGGCTTGGATAGAGTTTAGGGTAGTCCAGTCCCATATACATCTTTCTGTGTACAGACTACAGTGCTTGTAATTTTACCAAGATTTTTTTACCCGTAACTCCGGCCGGAGATCTGGCGTGGAGATACCCTACTAAAACATACCAAACAGGAAGTAAATATTCATCAAATGTCCAAATAAAGGTCATTATTTAAAAGTCGATATGTTTGTTACCTTACCTGTATCGTATCAATTTTCTTATCTTTTTCGGAGTATTTTGCATTAAAACGAGAACTTATAAGTCTAGACATACGCACTTTCTCACGGGATTCACGGCAGACTGAGCACAATACCGTGCACAGACCCACCTATTCTTATAAGTCTAGACATATGCACTTTCTCACGGGATTCACGGCAGACTGAGCACAATACCGTGCACAGACCCACCTATTCAAGCGTATCCTAGGCATTCCTGCACAGCTGCTGATGAGAGTGTATCCCTCCTAACATTATAATTGGCAGTAATTTATTCCATGCAGATAGATGTGAATAATTAAGCTTGTGTATGGATGCAAGATTGAGATATTTACAGTTAGGCCTATTTTGTTTTTTGCAAATTGGCAGTAGGCGAATCTGTTTGAAGGAAAGTCAAGTCAGTTTGAGAAAGCTCTGTAAATATGAGTTTATCAAAGTAGTGCATATTAGAAAATGCAAAAGGTTTTGTAGCCATTGGTTACTATGAATTTTGTATATAACTTAAGAACGAGGTCAAGATTGACAGTCTTATAGTACAAAAGCAAAATGTCTTTAAATTTATTCAGATATTTTGTATTTATTATATCTTGCATTCTTGTGTAACATGTGCTAAATCTACTAAATGTACTAAATCTGTTATTGTTATTTTTATCTGTATCTGCAGATTGAATAAAAAAGCTTTACAGCTTTATATCTCCATTTACGGCTGGACGTACATGGACTCCCAAACTCCTATTTCCCCTTTCTTCAACTTTTCACTGTCAATGGCTGCTAACGCAAATTACTGCAATCCTTATCGCTTTCCTTCTCGCAACATGCTATCACTTGAGATGAAGCTGGAAGTCATCAAGATGCACGACCAGCTGAACATGAGCAGCCGAGCAATCGTTGAGGCGCTTGGTAGTCGCGGGCTTCGCTGCGGAAAGACACAAGTGCTGAGCATCATTAAGAGCAAGAGGAGGTGGTTGGACAACTATGAGAGTAACATCCCTCTTGGTCGGAAGAAGAAGTCACAAAAGACGGGGAACGAGGAGATGAATGACCTCCTTTATGAATGGTATAAAGATTCTACAGCAAGAATGTTTCCGGTGTCTGGTCCACTACTTCAACGGAAGGCCCTAGAAATCGCGAAGCAACTGGACAACCATGATTTCAAGGCTTCCAACGGCTGGCTGGAGTCATTTCAAAGGAGACATAACATCGTGTTCGGAAATATGAATGCAGAGAGTGAAGGCGTGGACACCAACACCGTCGACGGGTGGAAGGAGGAGGTTCCTGAGATCTGTGCCACCTGCAAATGTTCGAAAGAGCGGGTTACAGTGATGGAGTGCGACAACGCCCTTGGGGAGAAGGAGAATCCGCTACTCATCTACACGGCCATTAAACAAGAGGAAGAGGAGAGTGATGGAGAGGATGCTGGAGAGCCGCCGTACCCTACCAGCATCCAGAACTTCAGAGATTTTGCTGAAAAGCTGGCCGAGATGAAGGCTTTCGCAGTGATGAAGGGGTGCAGTGGTCTTGTGGAAGCTTTGATGGAGGTGGAGGCAGAATCACTAAAGGAGGCCGAGTCGGCCAGGCAGTCAAGTATTCTGGACTATTTCAAGAGAGTTTGAATGTCCACCCACAACCCAAAAGCCCTTTTTAGGGCCTCCCATCACCAAAAAGCTCTTTTTAGAGCTTACATGACACTGAATGAGAAACGTCCCCGTCGTAGTGTCGGTAATGCGTTGGCCAAACGTAGCTAATTCTCACATTACAATTAAGAGAAATTCATGACACATTAATTCATTCAATAAAGCAAGTTATTCGTATTCGATTCTCAACATTAAAACATTGAATGAAAGCAAAATTTTAAAAGTGAAAGATTTCTTCTATTTGAGTACAGTTTCTCAATAAGGGACATTCTACAGTATCTCTGTTTTCGTGTCGGATCGGTAGGGGGGGCGGCTGTAAGAGTTACTAGAAATGGAACAGTTATTTTGTTCCACCTTCCTTTTATATTTAGTGGTCACAACAAGACCAACACGAATCTTTAATGAGACTGATCCTAAAGTAACACTACCAAATCAGTCCAGATAAATATATTGATCATATCGGTCAATTTTGAGACCTTAAAGGTAATGCAAAGTTTTTTGGAAATTTTGAAAATTGGATTGATAGTAATTCTTTAAAATGTTGATATATTTGGATGCCCCTGTGGGTGTATTATAAGTACTAGAAAATGTAGCCCCTAAAACACTTCTGCTTTCGAGAAATTGAAAAATCAAAAATATACCGACAGGTAATTTCAAATATTTCATATACTATATAGCACCTAAGGCCACTCCATGGTAGCTGCATCCAAGAAAATCTCAGAATATGCAGTTCTGATATATAATTTTCAAACGGGAATAGCAAATTGGTCGATTGTAGTACAAAAACATTGTTTTAAAGCTAAAGTAATATCAGTCTTGAGAGGGCGCTTTACAACATAATGAGTTGTTTATGTACAATTTCATCACTTTAGACTCAATTTCAACCGCGAAAATGATCATTGAATATTGTAAAATCGCATATGCTTCCAATATGTTCATTTGAACCAAATTCAGGATCCCATGCCAAAACTTGGTGTAAGGCCCTGGAAAATAGGCCTCCCTCAAAATTTTGCATACATTTATCTTGTTAGTATTGTCATATATTTTACACACCAGTATCTTAAAAAGTTTGCACATTCTTCAGGGCTTGCTGCAAAGATGCAGAAACCCAACCCCTGTTTCCAAGAAGTGGTGACTCATATTGTGCCCTCTCCCCAAAACGAAACCAAATCGAAGGCGTTGGTCATGTCAGTGGTTTCTGCCTGATAGCATCAGTTCTATACATGATGCTTCACAGTAAACACCTATTCTGACCAGCCTCTTCATTTCTTTTCAGGTAAGAAATTACAACTTTTAATCTCTTTCAATTCTGTCTGTCTAAGTTAATTATTATTGTTCAATTCATATATTACATTGTTGTGCTGCAACTCGTGTTTAATGATGAAGTGAATGTTATTAGTGATATTAGAACCAATTAAGTGTATTTTATCAAACCAGACTGATCATGAGAGATGCAGGCTTAACATATGTATCTACGTGACATGTATCTATTGTATGGTGGTAGTTATGTTTATGAAGCATTTAGATTATATAATGGTCGTATTATTATGTAGTAGAAGTAGTAAATCTTTATATATTCATACTAAGTCGGGTTAAACCAACTAGTGTGAACACACCTCATAATGTGTGTATGCTTAATGTGAGATGTATAGTGACGAGTTCATACCCCACTATACAAGAGTAGTAGTAAAGTTAATCCTGATACCAATTCAATAGTCTGTGCATTGGGGGAAGTTTCTCTGGTCTTTATCAGAGATAACTGTGACATGCTATGACTAATGACTTGTGATCAGCAGTAGTCCACCAACTGGAGAAATGAGGGAATATCGTAGAAAAGAGAGAATTTGGGTTCATAGTTCAAGATTCAGGTCTTTGATAAATGAGTTGTTATGCATTTATAGTTTCTCTCTCTCTCTCTCTTTCTCTTTCTCTTTCTCTCATGTCTCTCTCTCTTTTACTCCCTCTCATTTCTGGTTTCTCTCTTTAACTGTTAGAAGATTGAGTGTGATTTTGTTAGAATATATTCCTTGCATCTTTTATTTTACTTTTGTCCCTGCATATAGAGAAGAGTTTTGCTAGAATTGAGAAAGTAATTTGGTATTATTTTAGAAAAGGATTTTAGGGTTACTGCGAATATAGACAGGTCAGGATATGGGAGAAAGTTGGGTTATTGAGTAAAAAGACACAAAACGACTTTTAACTGGTTCACCTTGGTCTACAATTACAGTTAGCCGTGTTCAGATTAGAAGATAAGCAGTCAGATGCCTATGCCAATGTTGTTTATGAATTTAGAGTTAGCTGTGTTCATATTCATATTTAATCTGTATTACTTGTATTTAGTTTCATTAGTGTAATATGTTATTCCATGTTTATGTTATTAAAGAGTTCTATACATGATGCTTCACAGTAAACACCTATTCTGACCAGCCTCTTCATTTCTTTTCAGAATTTATATCATTTACCCCCGGACGTGGGTTACCTTTAGAGGGGGAAAAAAGATTAACGGGGAAAAAACAAAGAAAAGACTCGGAGATTACTGCTGTCTATGGCCCAAACCATGGACTGAGCATCAAATGAGACCTTTCCCCGAGACAATAGAAGATAAAAAGTAAACCCGGATTGTCTGGGGCGGAGGTTTGAGAGTTACGTAACAACACTTTTACTACAGTCCAATCACGTTACCAAAACAGCCAGCCAAAGTGATTGTCCTATAGTCTTTACTAATGCGAAAGCTTATCCCCGAGATGTTGAAATAGATGACCAATTAACTTTATATTGCCAGCCCAGAATGTAGGGAAGGAGTTGTGAAAGTTACGTAACTTACCCCTACTATTCCTTTTATTATATACGTTATCTTCATTTGATTACAAGCTTTGTTTAATAATAATTCGGTCACATTTTTTTAACGTAGCACATTTTCTGAATAGGGAATCGTATGCAAGATCTCTCTCTCCCTCTCTATAGATATATATATATATATTACATGTCTATCTCTCCTTTTAAAGAAATTAATATAAAAACAAAACCCCTCTATTCAGTGGCGGATCCAGGGGGGGGGGCCCGGCCCCCCCCCCCCCCCTTGAGAAAAAAAATCATGTAAAATCACGTGATTTTTACCTTTATTGGGGGTTGGGCCCCTCCCCCTGGCGCTCAAGGGGGGGGGGGTGCAAATTGAAATTTTTTTGAGGATCAAAAAAAAAAAAATGTGCTCACTACTAAAATTGATGAAATAAGGAGAAAAGACGATTACAGAATATCATCGCTCATCACGACCTCAAGCAGAGACGGCGCTCCCTTGGTGAGAGGGGGGGGGGCACAGTACCCCCACTTTTTTTTATAAAGGTACCCCTAATGTGCCCCTTTTACATTTTTAAAAAATGCACATTTTGCTCGAAAAATAACCTTTTCCTTTGTAAGAGGTACCCCTTCCCCTTCCAATAAGTGCTCCTTCCTCATCTATAAAGTGCCCCTTTTATTTTTACACGTGCTTTTTTGCCTTTGCAGTAAGTGTCTCTTTCCCGTTATTATAATCGCCCTTTTTCATCTCCGGTAAGCGCCCCTCTTTCGATTTCGAGAATTTCCTCTTACCACCTTTGATAAGTGCCCCCTTCAACTCCGATAAATTTTCTTTCAACTAATTGCCCCTTCCATTAAGTGCTCATTTTATTTTGATACGTGCCCCTTGTCCTTATGATCAATGCCCTTTCCGTTCTGATAAATGCCCCTTTATATGCAACCCTGATGAGTTTTAAGCACAATCTAATGAAGAAAGACAGAAAATTTCTTTAATAAAGTAACATAATTATAAAAATTATTAATGCGAGTGAGCTTTAGGGAAAATTAAATAAAAAGGGGCACAGTAGCTCTGAATTAGGGGTACTTGTTATGGGGAAAGATCACAATATATTTTCCCCCAGTTTTGGGGGGAGGGGGGGGGGAATTTCGCCTCCTTTAGCACAATTTTTTTTTTTAAACTTTTTTTTTACGTACGTGTGAACGTCGTATCAATAGGTAATCATTGTTTTACAAGTTTTTCAAATTTAAGTTTCGAATTCTATACCCCCAACAGCTATGTTTTACCATTTTTCCCCTGCCAAAATATTAATCTTATCAATTGCTGATTTTTGAGGAGGTCAACCTTCATTAGGCTTTTTATAAAGGGCTCTTTATTATTCTGATTTTATATGAATTCTATGCTTTGTTCATAGTTATAGGTTTTGTATAGTTTTAAAAAAAATGAAATTCGATTAAAATGATATTTTTTTAAAGTCTTAATCAAAATTGTTGATATTTGTACACCCCATTCAGAAAAATATCACACCACGACACTAGCTATAACAAAACAGATATCGTGAAAATCGCATTCTCTTCATCGATTTTATTACATAACAACGTCACCTTCAGAAAACACTAATTTAGACATCTTCAAAAGATTTAATACAAATGAATTTAATTGAATTCGAAGCTGTTTTATTGAATACAGAGCATTAACAATCTAAGAGCATTTATTATAATCTTATCAAATAAATACAAACACCATTTTTTGTTTGATATAATTCAAAACCATCATTAAATTTGTCATGTGTTAAGGTAACACGATCGACCAAATTTATCTCACAGATAAATTATTTTATAAATTTATTATTCAACTTAATTACAAATAAATAATTAAGCGCACAACGTCTAATTACTAAGTGGATGACAGCAACAAGCTGCCGCGTGTTTCGCCTCTCTTGAAAATAACTTAACAAATGCAGAAAATATATAAATTAGAAAATAAAAGACATCATGAACTGCTCAATCCATCTTATAAGCTTTCATGACAGCGCCGCGAACGCTACGGTAATACCTCAACATGCCAGCGTCGTTGAAGTGGAAACCGTCAGACGAGAAAAGCCTGGTGTGATTGAGCGCAAAAGAACGATGGCGCCAAAAATGCACGTTCGGCAAACCTTCAAGAAATTTAGCGAGCAGACGGTTAGTGTCTTGTACATTCGCGTTGAAGTTCGGCTTCCAATTCGGCACAAACACAAACGATAAGAAAGTAAGTAAATGTGTAAAGTATAGACAAAAGGGTGGATAGCCCACTTCAGAACCATTTTCAAAATGGTCCTGTTCTTCCATGGGGTCCAAAAGTAAAAATCACATTAATTTACATACAATATCATTTTTTTATAAAAATCAAAGTAATTTACCAATACACTACCCCCCCCCCCCTTATCGTTCTCCCTAACCTCACCACCCCCGCCACCCTCTCGATACTGCCAACCCCTCCCGCTACCCCTTTCCAAGTCCTCCAGTGTATATTATCTCTGTCATAACATTTCAAACTAAACTTTGTATTTCTTTATTAAATATAGCCAAACTTTTTGATTGTCGAATGTGCATAGACAATCCATTATACAATTTACTTCCGCGATATAGAAACATACGCTTACAATTCTGTGTTTTCGGTTTAGGCAAAACTAAATTGGTACTTCTAAGGGCATAGTTAGTAGTCTTAACAATGAACTTCTCTTTCAAATATACAGGTGCCAAATCGTGAAATATTCGATACATCTAAGTATAACTGTGCCTAACTTGTCTCTTTTCTAACATTTCCCAATTTAAAATATTATGAATTTCACTGATTGGTTTATGTTCAGATAATTTATATTTAAGAATAATTCTACCTGCCCTGTTCTGTAATTTTTGTAACATGTCTACTTGAGACTTAGTGCCCGAATGCCATATGGGTGAAGGAAAATTGATGAAATAAGGAGAAAAGACGATTACAGAATATCATCGCTCATCACGACCTCAAGTAGTTTAGTTCTGGACCCTATATGATTTTTGTTAGTGGGGATATCGCAGCCAATAAGGATCGTGCCATCAATCGGCTTAACGTTTATAGTCGGCGAAAAATCAATAAAGATCTTTTGGAAGTTTTATGGAAACCGTCAATCTATGATTTCTTTAAAAAAGTTGTGATCGTGTCGTAATCGAGTATGGACGAATTAAAATTGCAAATACAAATACCTTTTTGTATTACGAGTCGAATGTATTTTCTTTATTTCGCCTTTGAAATTAAACAAAAATTCGACCAAATTTTGTTTACAGTATGCTAAAGAGTTCGGCGTTATCGCCAATGTAATTTTTGTTTCTCTACTGATTAA